TTTAATTTCAATATCACTAAAATGTTAGCTATTAAAAGTACATACTTACTTTATACTTACCGTTACTTTAGAAAATACGAAGTATCTATCACATTTGAATTATTTATTGATATTTTGTATATATCCTATGCAGGTCAAGTGCTTTTAATCTATTGTACAAAGCGGTTTTCCCGTACTTGTGAGGGGTCGGAAATTATTGTTACAATAAGGGAATAGTAGTGTGGAAATGTCTTCATCTCCTGATTCTCGTTTGTAATTCTAGTTTGTAAAATGATTTCAAAGCATCATTTGTTCTACATATTATTATACTAAGCATTATATGTCAGATTATTTGGAAATTGATGTATTCGTTCGATTAGCGGGATCAGTTTCTGAATTCATTTACCGAGCACCACATTGAATGTAATCAATAGCACTAAAAACGAATTTGATATGTTTGTTTGTGAAACAAAAGAAGATAGCTTTATTAGTTCCTACCTTTTCTAATAAGTGGAAGTATATAATATTAATAACTATATATATATACTCGGTACACAGAGCAGTAGTGTAACAAACTATCGACCTACACTAGGAGCTATTCACTCCACATAAAGGGGCACTTGCGGGAATTGATGTATTTTAAAAATGTTGGTTTTCTACTTGGCTTTATAGGTACAGAATTATTTTGATCGTAGTCGTTTTCCGTCTTTACTGTGTAGTTTTCTTACGCTATTTAATAAACTTCACTGTCTAGATATTAGGTTTTTTATTTTTATTTTATCGTATGTATTTTTTTGTTATTATTACGACATATCATCATTTTCAGTTAACACATCCGTTAGCGGCACTTTTAATGTATCTAACAATACGTGGAACACTATAGGGACGTCTTAATATATGCGGACAAATATTTGTTCCCTCAAGTCTCATGTTCCTTGTCTTTTAATTTGAATTCGTATACAGTGTACGTATGACGTTCTTATATTAATTTTGTTTTCATTGTAAATCATATCGTAATAGAGATTTTATTTTTCACAATACCTACAGCATATATTATGAATGTACATATATTTAATTTTATACGAAACAAACCAATGTCTAATTGGAATTATCTTTATAGATTAGGTACTTTCACACGCGAAAATAATGTTTTGAAATCATAGTTCAATTAAGTTAAATGCTGCAGAAGTTCAAGGATAAGATCAAAGTTGTAAGTTACGAACGAAGTTTATAGCATTCTTCAAAAATACTAACATTGTACAAGAACACACCGGGTTTGGTAAACCCGATAACAGATGGCGTTAGTGGTGAACTAATTAAGGCGGAGTGACACTCATAAACATGCTAATTTTCCTATGACTTTTTTATAACTTAATTAATAACGTGCGGCGTACAACGTTTAGGATTTAGACCAGTTTATGCTACAATTTAATTTGATGACCCTCGCGTGACACGGCCTGGTTGTCGTCGCGTACTTTTATGGGAGATGTAAAATGAAAAAACATCAGATATTTTATGCCACTGTTTGATTTAGTGTAGTCGTGTTTATTAGAGGTATACGTTTTACATGATATATAATTATAATTACCTGTCGGCCGTGTCAACACGCATGTCTAGATTATGTGATATAACATGTACTCAAACGTGCCTAATGATGGACATGGAGTCAATAAAAACACTACCTCCAGCGTTGAATCTTTATTAAAACATTAGTTTCATATAATACAAATATTTTTCTGATAGTTTAAACGAGTTGATAGTTGTTAAATAAAATACATTATATATTTGAATGTGCATATATAGTTGTATAGTTTACTTGTAAATAACATCCTTTCTCTGCAATACAAAGTGTAGTTTTGATTATTTTTAATAGGCAGACGTATAACAGAGTTTTCTAAATGTTTTTTCTTACTTAAGTAAGAATCTGAATTGCTAATTTAACACGTAAAGCTACTGTCCAGGCGTAGAATGACCATGTGGTTTATATTGTCCAGAAGTAGTCTATAATAATAAGGTTTTATTCATGTTTGATCTCTTGGTTGTCGGAGGAACACAGATATATCATCACGGTTTCTTTATATCTATTCATATGTTTTCGTTTCATAATTATTTAAGCTTTTTTAAACCATTTAACTTTGGCTTAAAACCGTCATCGAGATAGTTTTTTAACCAGTTTGTACAAGGTTTCTAAATCTGTAATGTAAAAATTTCTGTATTTATTTGACCATAGTCAAGTATTACCTTAGGAAAAATCATGTCATTCAACCTTAAGATGACTGTTTCAGAATCATCGAAATATGTATGTTGTATTATTTATATAAAATGAAAACCTTTTCAGAAACGCCTACTAACTATACGAGAGTTTTACTAACTTATAATGATCGACTGTATATAGTTATAATTTAATACACATTTTTATTCTCTCAAAATTATTAAAAGTACTATTTTTTCGGTGTCTATTAATAGATTTTATATTTATACAAGAAAATACATTATTTGGTTATAAAAATAATGTCTAAGTCATAGAATAATCAGTCCAAATACGTGAAAAGCAATCAATCGTAAAACTTATGTTTTTCGTTAGGGTTAAGTCGGAAAACTATACTAAAATATACGTGTAAAGTTTTGCATTTCATAAAACAGTTTTTTTTAGTTACTTTATTTTTTAAATTAAATAATATTTATGAAATAAAGCCTTATAAGTTGTTCATTTTTATGGCGACGATAGTTATATTAAAATGACGTGTTCTTGAATTATTTTTACATATAAAACAAACCGCATTTACCAATAAAGGTATGTATGTATGTAATACAATTATAGGTACATATATACATTTTAAATATGTATTCAACGAAATAAATTACAATTTGTTCCAATAATTTGAATAACCACAACATTTAATTTACTGGTTTGCTATTCGTAGTAAATGTTTAATGAAAATTATCGTGCATGTATTGGAATGTTAGGAATTTAATATTTTATAATATAGTTTAGAAATTACTATAGCTATAAGCTATTTTAGTTACAACGAAAATATGTTCTAATATTACGGAAAAATTACAATTTATTTTACAAGTTCCATCGCACTTAAAAGTACGTTACAATTTTTAGGATATGTATTTTTGTTTTAAAAAAATATATTTCTAAATAACATCTCATTGAATTCTTTTCGATTTTTACTTTAATATATACTGTCCAAGATATATGTGTTATAAATAGGAAGCGTTCGTTTGCACTTTCTCCCTCAACATATTTCATTATATTCTTTAATTCATAATTACTAATATTTAAAATATAATATTATTTGAACCTCTTCTTGTGATAACGGAAAAGCGATCGAAAAAACTTTTTTTACTACATTGAATCTATTACCTCAAATTTTCCATTGAATTGATAAAAAAAATAATATACCTATACTAAAGAAGTATGATTCATCTAGAGACTAAGTACCGTAAAAGTAACAGTACTCTTACCACGTGTTTTCAATCAAACCAATCATATACGTATTATAAGTATACAATCGTAATAATATAAGAAAAAAAACTCGAAACTCCGTGTTCAAAACTTCGAAAACATGTGGTAAGGGTAACTCTTTATTTATTAGTTACCAGCCTTGATTTTAATTATGAAAAAGTGCGGGCCTTAAATAACAACATTAGAACGTGGGCAGAAGATTTACACACCAAGGAAAACCATCATAAGCTTCAGGTGAAGTGAAATAATAGTATTTTATACACATAGGATATTTGAAACGAATATTTTTGTCAACGAGAACGCTAAGAACATATCTCTTTCAATAAACATATCCATAAATTTATATTAAATTATTATTTATAATATCTTTGTTAACAATTATGTATTTTATTTATATATACAAAACAATTTTTACGTCTGTATGTTCGCAACAGATTCTTATAGCAACTTTACAATGAGTAGGTATTGTAGTCTCGAGCAACGCCGCATGTTATACTATGTATGTTATATAAAATCTTTATAGATTTAAACGACTCCTCGAATCACATAGAGACTAATATTAGCGTTGCCTCAGAGAAATTTTAATAAAACTTTGTTTAAACGTCTAGCTGCAGTCTAAACATCGCGTCGGATGAAAAAAATATAAAAATAAAATGTTTGCATACGATCTTTTGATATATTTTTATATACATAAATGTTAATAATAATATTTAAACCATTATATATATTATTACATATTATTTAGATACAAGCGAGTGTTAATTTAAAGTATACCTACTTGGAAGGAAAAGGAATTATTACGTTGAATGTCCATTGCAACCTATGTATTTTTATTTTCATAATTACTAAATTGTCTATAAAATATAATAAAAACATCTCTCCTTCGAATTGAACTTTAATATCGATGATTTTAAATGAAAAATATACATAATAACTGAAATTGTCTTCACTAGTTATTAAATACATACGTAAAATACAATTAGATAAATATATGCTTTGAGAATGTTGTGTCGTGATATGATTTGCAAATCAAAATCATATTAAATGTACCTATGTCAAATGTTTTAAATATTCACGCCTTGTTATACTATATCAAATGAATAATATATACAGTCCGTAAACTAACTATTAATTAATTAATTACAACTGGAAAAGTATACATAAATATCTCGTGTCAATGTTTAAAGCATCGGACAATTTTTTATTTAATAGAAGCTCACAGTTTCACGTCTAAAGTAATTCTTACAAACATACGAAAGCCGAACTATATGAATATTTATTTGATATAGAAAACATGATAAAAAGCCCGTAAATGTATAAATTAAATTATGAAAGACTCGACAATGAATCGAATTAATCTTAATTAAAAGAACATATGAACTAATAAAAAATAATCTGATATCTTTCATCGACGACTGTAAGAAAAAAATGTTAATTAAATGTATCGATAGTTAGTGGTAGAGGTCATAGAAGGAGAGGCGTGCTCTAGTGAGGTGAGCGATGTAGAAGTATGAGCAGGTAGCATGCGCGGGCGCTGCATGGTCGCATGGTGAGCTCGCGGGTGTGTGCGGGGCGGCCGGCGGGGTCCGGGCTGCGGGCCGCGGGGCCTCGGGCTCCGGGCTGCGGGCCGCGGGGCTGCGGGCGTGACTCTGGGCGTCGCGCGGCGGCCATTCGCTTGCAGCACGCGCCGCCCCAGGCCCCGCCCGCGCGCCCCGCTGACACACGGCGGCGCTCAGTAAGTTGCGAGTCCTCGCCCGCGGTGCATGCCTCGCGCGCTCCACTCGACCACTTGTATTGCAGATGCGAGCCCGCTGCCGCTGAAAGCATGCCGGCCGAGGAGGAACCCGCGGCGATGGACGGCAGGGAGGCCGCCGACGGCTCGCCCCAGCAGTTCTGTCTAAGGTGGAACAACTACCAGACCAATCTGGCCAACTGCTTCGACCAGCTGCTCCAGACCGAGTCCTTCGTGGACGTCACGCTGGCCTGCGAGGGTCAGAGCCTGAAGGCGCACAAGGTGGTGCTCTCCGCCTGCAGCCCCTACTTCCAGACTCTGTTCATGGACAACCCCTGCCGCCACCCGATCATAATAATGCGCGACATTAAATATTGCGACCTGAAGGCCGTCGTGGACTTTATGTACCGCGGTGAGATCAACGTGTCCCAGGATCAGATAACGGCTCTGCTGAAGGTGGCGGAGATGTTGAAGATCAGGGGGCTGACAGACGTGAGCGGGGAGCACGCCGTGCTGAGGGGGGGCGGGGGAGGGATGGAGGCTCGGGCGGCCAAGAGGCCAGGGAGCCGCGAGGACGGCTCGCCGGGGGATGCTGTGGCGGGCAAGACGCGGAGAGCGTCCGGGGAGCGCAGCGCGGGGCCCAGCCCGCGGGAGTCCCCTGCAACCACCTCCGACCTGCACGTGCCGCAGGACGCGCCGCCAGCCCTGCACGACGACGTCGACATCCGCCCCGGCATCGCCGAGATGATCCGCGAGGAGGAACGGGTGAGTACATGTGCTCTTCACTTCACTTCACTTCACTTCACTTCACTTCACCTCACGTTTCATTTCCCGTCCCGTCCCGACTCCTCCCGACCCGTCCCTTGCAAAACTTTTCCCGCCGTCGCTCTTCCCCGCGCCAACGTTTTTGCAAACTTTCCACGTCCAACTTTAATTTTATTAATATATTTTTTTCATATTATTATTTTTGATATACACTATCTACGTGTTTTGATCTGCATCTGTTCACTTGGTTTGGGAGTTTTTATTTTTAATACATGTTTGTTTATTAATTTGTCGTATTTCAAGTTTTAACACGTTTCACATTTTTTGTTGAATTTATTTCTTTTGTTTTTTTTTTTCACAAAAAAACAAAATTTTTAAATAAATAATATAAATTAAAATTTACCTTATTCGTGATCAGACATAATGCCGTAAAATATGCTTTAAAATGAATATGACTAAAATTTTTACATTGAACAATATATTCTCTAATAATTATTATTAATAAACACAGAAAAACACTACAAGTTTATAAAAGTTTTTGAACCTCGAAGATGAACTTTGGGTAACAAATATTTATTTTTTTGAAAATGTATTCTAACGAGTCACAATAAGATTCAGGATGCCTTGTTCCAAAGCGCCTTTCGTCTACAAGCAAACGTAGTTTTACAGATTTATACATTAAAATTCTCAAATTACATGTTTTTTATAACAATTCAATTGAATTTTTAATTATATAATTATAAAAATTTATAAATTACTTTTATATTTTTTAGATATATGTATTTCTAAAAAAAACTTATTACGTAAATACGATTATCGTTATATAAAAAACATCAACTTACTTTGTATGAACAATACATAAATATTAAGAGTGAGTTTTAAAACTATCCCCATAAGGAATATACGACAGAAGAAAAGCTCAAGAGAATGGATTTCTTGCTAAAATAATAATAAGTTTTATAACAAAGGGATAGAGCTCAAAATCGCAAGCAGTCCAGCGGATTTCGGTAGCGTCCTTACTTCCACGCTCCGTTGTAACGCATCGTCTATTATAATATATACACGTCGAACATCCGAAATTATCGATATTTGATATAAAAAAATGTCACATCTCTAGCCGGCTGAATTCTAATAAGTATTTGTTTAAAGGGCGAAGTCGAGTGTTGTGACTTAAATGTATCGATAACCGGTAATAACAGCTTCACGGTAATACCAGGTAATGGTAATTAAAAAATATATATTCAAATGATTTCGTTAATTGTTCTCGAGGCGAATGCGCCGGCGGAGCCGTTGCGAACAAAACTGGGTTAGTCCCAACAAAGGGATATTGTTCGACAATTAGCACCGCAATAAGCATAGATAAGTGAATGTTCGTTTATACTAACATAGCTCATGAAAAAATGTTGCAAACCTTTACAAGTTTTCTATTTTATGATCGCTGTATTGTTGGAGGTTTTACGATCGCATTATGAATACAATAAAATATTATGTTATGCTTTTATTATTCTTAATGTTATTTGTACGGTTTTTGGACAAAAATTCAAAATATTTTCCCATTTTAATTTACACGCAAGATCCGCTGTTGTTGCGGATAACCCATTAACTATTTGAATAAATAATTAAATTAATATATTTTATTTATTTAAAATAAAAACATTTATAATCTATTAAAATTTATCTATATCGATACGTAGCTCATCCCTACACCTATAGCGTGAAAGTCGCAGAAATGCTACGTTCGATTCCTTATTGACTCACACGTTACTTATCAAGAATCGCCCGTTTTATTCGCCTTTTTAACAATTTTATTATGACATCAATAGAACTTTCTCGATCACTGGCCCTCTGGAGCACTTCCGATTACAATATCCGAGAAATATTCCGAAACTTACTCAGAAACTTAAGGAATTCAACTGAATTTGTCAAAACAAAACTTTCATTTCCTTCAATATTAATGTAACCAAACTAATTGTCACTTATCAGTTTGCAATACGTCAATAAGATATCTTCGTAGTCGGTAAAGAGGTATAATGTTTCGTGTTTGGTATATTCATTATGTATTTCGTTTCCAAGTTAAAGTTAACTATTATAAATATAAACAATAGCTCATTAGTGATGGCTTATAACCGTGAAGCGGACACGTACGACATATACTAGTTTCAATTAACCCAACTAATTAAAAACTATGAAAATATTGTATTATGGAACTGATTAATTTTATATGTGCGTACATACGATATCTGTTTCATTTATTTTCTAAGTCTATACGATCTTTTATACTCCCTCAATTCTCCAAGTATTCCTGAAAAATTCTTTTTCTCAGCTATATCATGATAGAAGAATTTCTCTCCCTAATCCTTCGACACGTTAAGACCGTTACCTATTCATGCGTATTTCACGATTTTTTTTCATACCGTACGTTGATTAATATTAGCTCGTGTAAACTTAATTAGCTTAAACGTGGTGCGGTTTTTATTTCTTTATATGTTATAACAATTGAATTTTCGACACAATAACCATAATAATAGAATCTAATATGCAAGAGCAGCGTGCGACGATATTAATTAGTTTCCTAGATTAAGCGTATGCCCTATTTCTGTATCGTGAATACTAAATACTCTTAGCTCTAAAACAATTGTTCGTTGCTAGTTATGATAACGATAATATAGTTACGCTATGAATCACATTATTTTTACGTGAATTAATCCCCTTGAAATATCAATTTTAATTGCTTCAGCGTCTTCCGTACGTCGGAAATATGGTAAAAAATATATATCTATACTAATCCTCAGCTTATACTATATGTTACAATTTTTAAAATATTATATACCTACCTATGTTTATCGAACATTAATTACACAAATAGAATTTTAAATGATAATTTATATTTTGTAATGTCCATTTCAAACGATGGCCTGTTTGTAATTTATTTACGTTCACATTTAATTGGTGATCTATATGTAAAAGGAATTATTTGATTTTCGTATCGGATGATAAATTTGATTTTGAGGTGGAGTGAAATTTAACCGGTTTATGTGACCCGATGAAAATATAAGGCTTCGATGAATTGCAATAACATTGTTATTATACAATTTATATTAGATTTCAATATAAATTTGACAATTTATATCTCACTTTATATTATGTTATAAAATTAGATGTTTTTAATTTTTTTTTATATATTTAATTTAAACTTAAATAATTTTACGAAATATTTATAATCTATTCAATGGTTATAGGTAACTTTCATTTTCTTCAAAGAAAAGATAAATCCAAGTGAAAGAAGTGTCGATAAAGTTGGTCGCGTTTCGTATTATGGTGGCTTTAAGAATTTTTAAAACGAACTTTGTTCGGAGTTGTTTGAATGTTCAGAAAGACATCGCTCTTCACCTGCCACGATGGATGAAATGTTACAGAAATTTATAAGTAACGTGAAATTATACTGGAATTTACTCTCGTATGTGTGGAAGGGTTGATTTCAAACGAAAATCATGTCTCAAATATGATAAAATAACAAATAACTTAAGATAAAAGATTTAATTAAAGAAAATATACAAAAATACTAAGGTTTATACAAAAAAAATCATAAAAGTTCAAACCGATTTTCATTTGATAATATCGTTATTTATATTGAAAATACCAATTAATATTTATATACGCATGAAATTAAAAATATATACGGCGTGTAAAATTGTTGATAAATATTAAATTAAATTTATATTTGTTTTGGAATAATTTTATTTTACGTTTTCTTTTAATCAAACTCACAAACACGTATTGATTCGTTTCTTAATTTCAATTTTCTTGTTAAATAAAAAAAATCTTCACCGGGTTCGACGACCTTAGCAGTGAATTTTCTGACAAGCTTTGTAATGAAATTTTCTAATTTAAACTGTACAATTCTTTGGAACTGAAATAGTCTGATGAATTATCTGTTTGATACTCAGTAGATACGATTGAAGAGATAGGAATTAGAATGGGAGTGTAGGAAATTCAATCACTGGACTAATTGGAATCAGCGAACGGAAGAACGGAAGGAAAGAAGATATTTTTGGTGGTCATCAATGAATGAGGGATTCGGGAGCGGTTCGGCGGTTCATTTAAATTTATATATACGTGTCGTCGCGGTCTCTTGAACATTCCGCATTTCTTGATACACATTTATAACTCTAGTTAAAATCAGTTTTAAAGATTCTTCAATTCACATTCGTTAACATGACCACTGTCTCTAATATGTGTTATTTATCAAAGTTGAAAAAGTTTAATTGAAACGTTAAATTTATTGTTAGTTTGTCGTGTCAAAGTTGCAAAAATCTACTAACTATATTTCAAACTGTTTGCGCGTCTGTTAGCTGGTTCGTTTGCAATTAATTTATTTGAGTGATAAAAAAAAACAATTCATATTCGTCCTAGTATTATTACTATATAAACAAGGCTCGGACCGACCAAAATAATAAAAAAGAACTTGAATCAAATACCGCCAGTCAATATTACACAATACAGCGACTTATCTCTCCGACAATTTGTTCAAACAAACATCGGTTATTCTCCTTTCCAGGCTCATTAAGCCGTGTGCACACGTTATCTGTTTTATAGTTTTAATTTAAAACAACACATAGATAAGAATAGTGCCATTTCACATGAATTAAGGTTAAGTTCTGTTTGCCGAAGTCTTCTTGCTTTGTGACCGCTGCTATATAAACAAAGTCTTAATACTTCTTTTTGTGTTCTGTAAACGGACATCGGGATTTATTTTATTAATATTATACTTATATACAAATTAATTTTATTGCATATAATGATTCTTTTATAAAATTCTGAAAGATTATTCGAATTTATTCACTAATATAAGACGAATGATCACAAAAAATGCTCACAAAATGTAGTGATTTGTGTTGTTTGAGTTATAAGTAGATGTATTAATATATTGATAATTTATAATAATAGTTATTTAATTATAGCAATAAATTAAATATTTACATAACAAGATACAACGCAAT